GAGAGAGAGAGAGAGATCTGAAAGGCTTTGCACTATGGTCTCAGCTATCGTTTTTCCCCTTAATGAGCAGATCCATTGTAGCATGTAGTTTTGTGTTTTTTTTTGGGTTCCCCTGGCCAGTTTATGACTGCTGAGATGTTTCTTTCTTCAGTGATTGAGCAGGTTTTGGGACTGGGGGGGAAGAGGAGAGGGGAGGGGGGAGGGGAGAGTGGAGTTGTGCATCGGAGATTCCAACATTGCCCTCAGTAATGTGAAATGGTTTGAGACGTGGCAAGGCGCAATGTTCCTGGTGAGTAAAGATGCTAGCATCATGATTGAACATGCCATCATTCAGCATGAGACAACAAGGTCATCACGTGACCCTTTTTCTTTCGCGGAAGTTTCGCCCCGATAATTGGATGTTAGACATTGTTAGTCCAATTTCTGTGTCAGCAAAACTGTGCACTTCGAATGTTGTTATACACAAAAGTCATGACATTTGTCCCTCTCTCTGTTTTTTTTTTTTTTTTTTCCATCGGCGTTATCCAGTACATGCTTCTATGTATTCACTGGCATGAAGGAAGGGTGCCAAACACAGCTACGGAAATGCTCAGGCACAGTAAGCACAGAATGGAAGAATTATCCTCCTTTTCTCTTGCTGTTTTTGTTCTTCTCCTCCTCACCCTCCTTCCCTTCCTTCTTCTTCTTCTTCTTCTTCTTCTTCTTCTTCTTCTTCTTCTCCTTCTTCTTTCTTCTTCTTCTTCTTCTTCTTCATCTTCGTCTTCGTCTTCGTCTTCGTCTGCGTCTGACAGTGGTCGAAGGGGTTGTCGTGGGGAGTGACACCAAAATAGGGTATTCTAGTTTATGGCATGTTGACGTGGCATGCTGATGTGGCATGCATATGTGCAGAAATGGTGGCGTAAGCGGAATTTGTAGAAGACCAAATATTTCCTGCGATGCACATACCCTGTAATGAATGAAAGGGGGTCATTACTATCAGAGGGGTAGTACCGTACTGTAGCTAAGCGTTTCCTGCAATGCACATACCCTGTGATGAAAGGGGGTTATTATCAGAGGGGTAGGACCGTAGGAGTCATGACAATAGGGTCAGACAAGCCGGGTGATGACGCTCTCTCCAAGGTCATCCTTTGGATTTGGGGGGGAGGGGTAAGGGTGAAAGAAAGCGTCAAGCCTGGCAATCGGGGTTCCTCCTTTTCGTTTTCCTAAAAAGGCGATGGCCTTGAGATATGGGGTCTCACTCGACCACGACCACCCTCCGTTCTACGCTTTTGGAGAGTGTGGCTCCACTCTGCCAACTCTCCCATAGTAGTTGTAGAAAAAGACGACGCGCACATGCAACCATAGCTCTCCACTCGTCTGCTAGAGGTGAACTTCTTCATCCTAACGGTCCTTCCATTTGGCAACTTGTGTATCATCACCTTCCTATCACAGTCGAATTGAGGCTTAACAACCTTGAGGTAGTACATCCATACCGTCTCCACCCAGATAGAACGCCGGGTAATTATCGCCGTATCTGGGCTGAAAGTTGTGCCAAATACAAGTATAATGACCGGACGTTCTATTCGGGTGAACACGGTAGTAGCATATTGAACGGCAGCTCATCACTCGCCAGGAATGAGATCAGACAGATTCCTTGGAGGGGACTTCCCGAAATATTTTGGAGTCCCCAGCCTGCAGTGCGGAAGGCCCACGGTTGGTTGTCACTTCCGTACCTAGCGAGGGAAGGGCAGGGGAGGGAGGGAAGGTGGGGGGGGAGGGGGGGGGGGGGAGAAAAAAAAGACGGAGAGTTGTTTGAGTGCGGAAAAAGAAGAGAGTTGGGAAAAAAAGAAAAGCGAGTTGGCGGAGCCAAGGCATCAAAATCCCATTTTTTTGGGACAATTTCTCTCCATTCTAACCACTGCTCCATCCACTCTGCAAAATTGGGTCCAGTGACTCCAATGTAGAATGGTGCAGTGGGATCCACAATCATTGAACCGAGCAGACTCTCGAATTGTTAAAAAAAAAAATGGAGAGCGCTCTCGAACGGCACAAAATTGAGAAATTCCGCTTGAGAGAGCAAGTTTTGCTGAAGTACACTCTGGAACCGTTAGGCGTGCTCTGACGCACACAGATCATGCGCACAGTTCGAAGAATCTGACCCTCTGCCACTCCAAATGACTCTCAAATTTCAAGGCAAACTCGGCGGGACGAATGAGGTCTCTCAAATTTTGAGAGTTGCAGCTGGGCACTCCCACACCCGCCGAAGTCAAGAGGGCTCTCAAATTTGGGCTTCGGACAGCTCCCGACTTGTTTTTTCATGAGCCTATTTTTCGAGAATGGTGTGGCGACTCTCCCCCTCACCTCGAAACTTCGGGATTTATCTCAGAATTCTATTTCGTTCATCTGTTGGGGATTCAAACACTTGTCTGTATTTCAGCAGTTCGTGCGCATACTTCGGGTTACAGTGTTTTTGAGGCACAGCATGCCTCATTCAGACTTTACACTTTGTTCTTTTCTATTTTCCTCTTGGGAGTCCTGGGGTCCTGGGGTCCTGGGGTGAGGTCCCACTATCAGAGAGGACTGGATTTGACGCCTGAATCTAGGCATGTTTGTGGAGAGGTGCAGAAAATTGTGATTGATCTGTTTTTCCTGCATCTCTGCATATAAGCTGATCCAGATTCAGGTGTTTAGCCTGATCCTCTTGTTACCAATTTTCATTTCTTTTTTTTTTTTTTTAAACGTAGGCCGGGGCGGCTAGTGGAGGTGATGTGAGCATCCCCCGGTAGCCTCGTTATAGGGCGTCGCCGCACGGCACACGAATCGAAAAACGAAACGAGTGCATCTTCCGGCAGAAAATGCCAGGTTCATCGGTTTGCTATAAATAGTAACAAGTGTATTTTGCCACCTTTCATGGGCAGATGCACTCGTTTCGTTTTCGTTTCGTGTGCCGTGCGGCGAGACCCATAGACAGCTCGTTTCTGTTGGTGTGGAGCAACAACACCTGCTGAAAAAAATGCGTCCAGCGTCTCATTTTGCAAGACAAGGACTGCTGGAAAGCGGGTGCAGCGTCCCATTTAGAGACATTTGACCAGACTGTGTACTAGGACTGTATCCGCTACACTTTGCAGTTAATACCGTTTGTTGTCCAGTCGGGCGGCAGGTGAATGCGCTCGGCCTCATTGATCCATCCGTTGTCCCAGGAGTTGGGCCCAATGGGCCAGGGGGCATCCTGTCCCTTGGGTCCAACTGGCCTGAGCATTGCAGACTGCATCCTTCAAGTTGCAGACGGCGGGGGAGGGGGGCTCACCCTCCAAACCACGATCTTCCCACCATCGTCCTATCGTGTAACTTACAGTGAAAGGGGTCCGGAAAGTCGGGCTGCGGTCGTAACGGGAAGTCTGCCTCAATGCAAGTCCAATCATTGAAGAACATGCGATAGCCGCTTTGGGCTTTCCCCTTTTCACTGTCCCCATCCCTTCCCCCCTCCACGTTTGCCACCCATCCCGCCGTGTCTGCCCCCAGGCATTCTGCACAGAAGCTGGCGATCTCCTTCGTGATGTCCACCGGCCTGTAAAGCCTGTCTAGGTTCTCCTTGACGGCCCTCCATCTGGTCAGGATTTCATTCTGGACCTGCTGTTTGATCTGTTCGTTCACCTCCTCCCCTTCAACCCGTACTTCCACTGCAGGCGAGGGTGCACCTGCTCTACCACAGTAATCCTGTTACCACAGTAAGCCTGTCTAGGTTCTCCTTGACGGCCCTCCATCTGGTCAGGATTTCATTCTGGACCTGCTGTTTAATCTGTTAGTTCACCTCCTCCCCTTCGACCCGTACGTCCTCCCAGACGAGGGTGCACCTGCTCCACCACAGTGCCCACAACACCGCTCTCCTGGCCACCTCGAACATATTATGTATGAAAACATCTTCGTAGAAGTAATTAATGCATTGCCATAGGAGGGGTGTAAGATTTTGAGATAAGGTCCCAGGGTTACGAGAAGGGGACTCGGTGGCGATAGCGGGAGGGAATAGCCAAGTAGGAAGGGTACATTGAGAGTTATAAGATACAATCGGGGTACGGACTGGAGGACAGCCACAAACCTATTCAATGGATCGACGGTAACCCGGAGCTATCAATAGGATCACAGTACTGGGCAAGGGATCGGAAGTGCAGGGCTATCGCCTGGAGCTCTCAATAGCAATGCTGCC